AGCCAAGGTGGAGGTGGAAAGGGCTGGGCACCCAGGATCATGCCTCTTTCTTTCTGGTTCTTCTGATATCTGTGACCCATGAACCCTCTCCCCCTATCAATCTAGGAGATCTGGAAATTCTCAACTTCTATCTGTCAGGACAAGCTGAATGGGAATCTTGGAGCCCAGCAACTCTGCTAGTACGAGTATTAGGGATGAGATGGACAGGGGAAGGGTTTGGAAATCGGAGTGCCAGAACACTACGTTTGGCTCCCACTCTTGACAGGAGGCAGCAATTTTCCGCTGCCACCCTGCCGTTCTCCCCTCCCCCTTATACACACACCCCAGCTAGCCACAGTTACCATTGGTCCTGCCCTGGCTGGACTGGGAGGCTTGGCTACCCGTGTCAACATGGCCAAGATTGGACTCTGACCCACCTACTCCACCTGCCCCCACCCCTCCCAGCCCTGCCGTTATGGAAGGAGGTACTGCTGAAAGCCTAGCCTAGCAAGCCCAGCCCCAACCCAAGCTCCCTCCAGAGACATGTCAGAGAGTGGGCAGGAGATCCTGCCTGCCCTGGACACTGACCTCCGCCAGCTGGACTCCGGGGGAGGAGATAAGTAGGCAGGACTGTAGGGAGAGCTGTCAATGTGAACAGCACCAGTCAAGGAAAAAACTGAGGAGGGGATGGATGGGACAGAGACCAGATGAGAGAAGAATAATGGAGGCAGCAGATGAATTGTTTTAAGAAACAAATACCTTTCTCCTCCTCTACAAGGAGAAACCATAGGGTCAAAGAATGGAAGAGAAAAAAGGAATCAGTCCTAGTGGAGCTGAAAAAATATAGCAGAATATCTGGGCAAGGCTTAGGGGAGACAGGTCTGTGGAGGTCTCTGAAATTGAAAGCTAAGAACAGAAATGTGAGGAGGGGAAAAAAACCCCCTTTAGCAGGAGACATATCAGGGAGCCCTGCCTATGGCAGCAAAGAGTTAGCTGAAGTAAGGCAGTCAGAGCCAGCCAGAGATGGAGTGGACAGCCTCAGGAGCACAGGAGCCAGTGCTGACACACAGACAAAATGGTCACTTTGCAGGGAGGCTGGGTGAAGGAGAGCTTCTGGAGGAGGATGGGACTGGACAATACTTAAAATCTCTTCCTACCATGAGTTCCTGAGGAACCCCGTCCCACCACCCTCCAGACTACCCAAACCCTCTGTGAAGGATATATGGCGGGGGTAGCGGCGGAGTGGGGACACCATTCTTCGAGGATCTCGCTGCACCCGTTCCACCAGCCCGTGGTGCCGAGTGCTCCGAGATGAATCCAAAGGTGAGTGGAGGGGGCTCTGTCAAAAGAGACAGGTGAGTCCACAGAATAAGCTGCCTGAGAGCCTGCACTCCCCACTGGCTGGTGTCCACTCACCTGGAACTCAGCCAGGCCACAGCCAATCTGATTAACATTGGGCAGAGAACCACCATAATGGGAGCTTCTTGTGTATGCCAGTCGCAGCTTTTGGGCCTGTAACTGAGAAACGGAGGACAAATGGGAATGTTCCAGAGGGTCCTGAGCACTGTTCTGTTCCTGTGGTCACCACTACCACCCCTGCCTCCAGGATATGCTACTATTGCTGCCGCTTTTAAGAGATCTGCCCAAAGAAAAACCAGTGCTGGGGGAAAGGTCCACTGAGACCTGGCGCTGTCTGCCCTAGCTCTTCTGCAGGCTCCCCTCATCAATGACATCACTAATGCCTGGCATCTCCCTGCCAGGCAGGGCCTGACACTCTGCTCAGTGCCTGTCCCAGTTGGCATCAGTCTAAACAGAGTCCCTGAGGGGCTGCCAGGAGCCCCCAGGGTAGTCACGTGGGTTAGATCCTGGGGAAGGGTGCCTAATAGGCTCCTCTGCTTTCCCTTCCAGATGCGTCCAGGACTAATTGGAAGATGGCAGGAAGGCCACAGGTGGATGCCAGAGAGCCATTACTGCCAACCTCTTTCCTTCCCACTCTGGAGGGCACAGGCTTCCAGGCTCCGCCACTTGCCCAGCCCCAGAAGGCTACACAGAGCCTGTACTTTCTGAACTAGAACATTTAAGGAATGATGGTTCTCCTAGCTGCAAAAAGTGTCAAAACCAGGAAGCGTTCTTCTACCTAGTTCTAAAGCCCTTGAACTGGCAGGGAAGCCTGGAGAATGGGGGTGGGAGAGGGAGCAATGGCCCACTCCAGCCTGGGCCAGAGCCATCTCCCTGGCTTCATCCCCACTCTGAGGAGATATGTCTGGCACTGGAGTGCGACAGCATGAGCCTCAGCCTGGCATGGTTTTAGTCTGTTTATACATCTCACATCCCTCTGTGAGAGGTGAGCACCTACTTCTGATGCTCAGCCACTGCCACTAGCCAAATAAACAGTCCCAAGGCAGCTGATGAGGGGGAAATTCTAAGAGCTTCTGGAGGTCACACTGTTGTGCACAGGCCAACATCAGAATTGACTTTCTGTTCCAAGAGGTCGGCCCAGTGAGTTTAGTGGGCACTATGCTGACCCTTGGGCCACTTCAAGACTGCTATTAATATGCATGATAACCCCAGCCTCTCAGCAGTATAGGCCCCCATGGCTATATCTGGCTGGAATGACCCTCCCAGCTGGCCAGATAAAGAGCTGAGCCCCAGGTCTCTTATCTCTAGCTTTGGACTCTTGGGTCTCCAGGCTCTGGCCATGTATGCCCACTAGATTTTTATATGCAGCAGAGAAGTTACCCAGCAGGGGCAAGGTGGGTGGAGGGGGTCTTTTGACAGACTAAGGCACTACAGAGATAGAATCCCCAGCTGTGAATTTCTCACAGCCTTTCCTTGCATATACAAGCCCTAAGATCCCACCCAGCCTCTGCTGGAGTCAAATCTAGAGGGCAGGGCCTCAAGCTGTCAGCTGGAGATCAGCCTTTCACCCACCTTCTTGCCTCTGCTCCCACCATGATCAAAAGCTCCTAAAGGGGAGCAGTCAACAGTAACATCATGATCCTCATGGCGGTTAGAGGGGGCTATGCACATGCACACATGATTTGCTTCCCCATCTAACTCTCTCTGTTCTGACTCCCACAAACTAGGACACGTGGTCTCTAGAGACTTAAAGGGGGAAAAAAACACAAAAAAGACTAACAGAGCCAAGGGAGACACACACAAAAATACAACCAGAGTCACAGTCATAGACAGATGCAATCACAGGCAATCAGACTAGTAGAAAGAGCTTTGAAACGTGGTATTTATGTTCCCCATCTCCCCTTAAATTCCTTCTAGTTCCCTTCCCTGAGGGATCACTGCAATATCCTCACCTGCTCTTTTGAGAATAATGTATCCCTAAATTAGGACTGCATACCAGCTGGGCAAACTCCCACCCCTTGCTCCCTCTGACATCCAGCCCCGGGAAGCAAGAAGCCAAGGCCAGAGGGACTTCAGAGGCAACTCTGCCATGATGCTTTCTTTCTGGAACTTCCTAGGAATGAATATTCCCTACACATAGAAGATTCTCCAAGGCACCCCATAACTGACCCATAAAGCAGCCATCTCCTTAGAAAGCTCAGCAAACCATCGGATTCACCTTAACCTATAGCCAACCGGTTACCCGCCTTCGAGATTCAAAGCCCTACTTCTCCTCCAAGGCGGCCAGGGCAAAACATCAAGCACCAGTCTGTGAGCAATGGACCTCACCTTCATTCACGTCAGGAAACCACAAGAAGTATTTGAAAAAGGAAGCAAAGGGACGGGACGCAGGAGGGGACTTCCTGCCCCACTATACTCAGCGCTGCTGCTCAAACCACTCAAGGGGCCCTTTCCCGGAGGTACTGAAGTGCCGAGAGTGGCACAACAGCGCAGGGGGACCAGGTTGGAGGAGATTACCAACTCTGAGGAGCCAGACTAGGGCAAGGAGACTAACCCCCCAACTCAACATCGCGGATGCTTCAGTAAAGTCCCCGAGAGGACTCAATCAGAGATGCACAGGGACCACCCACCTCCAGCTTCTGCCAGGCTTCAGAGGCCGATCTCCTCTCTCTGCCCTCTCCCGCCTCACTTACTCGGCCCCAACTCGTTCCCAAACCCCCAACCTCTCTGGTGTTTCGGCCTCCCCCCCCTCAAAATCCGTCTTCCTACCCCTCGGCCCTCAACCCGCGCCTCCCAGACGGCGGCGCCCGCTGCCCCTGCCGCGTTCCGCCTCCTTCGCGGTGGCTCCCGCCCCCGCCCCGCCTCTCGGCTCCCCGCTCCGTAACTTCTCTGCTCTGCTCCGCTCCCGCTCCCCGGCGCGGTCCCTCACCCGAGTGGAGCCGATGTCCATCATCACCTCCTCGAAGGCCGCCGTCTCCTCGGCCTGACGCTGCTTCTGCAGCGCGATCTTCTCACTAAACTTGCGCGGATTGGAAGCTGAGGCCGTGGTCGAGCCGGGCCCGTTCGCCCCCGACGTCGCCATCTTCCTCCCCCGTCCCTCCCCGCCACCCTCCCAGCACAAGCCACGGCCTCCGCCGCGGGCTCCGGGCCGGCTCTTCCAGCCGTAGCCGCCGCCGCCGCCTCAGCGAGCACCGCGAACCCGGCCCCAGCCTAGCCCTGACCTGTTGCGCGCGAGGACCGCCGGGAATTGTAGTTTGTTTACGTGACTCCTTCACACCCCCAGTCACGCAGTACTGAGAGGAAACGGACACCATTTCCCGGCAGCCCTGATGACTCCGGGAACTGGGAACTTTGCTCCTCCCCCTCGGCTCCTCCCTGCGCAGGGCAAGCTGGGAAAAGTAGTTCTAAATTGGCCCCGAATCTGCGAACGCGAAGGGGCGAGCGATTTAGGAGACAGGAAAGGAAAAGGGGAGGAAAGGGAAGGGGTGGAGACAGGGAGGGAAGAAGGAAGAGACAAAAGAGGAAAAATTTGGTCATGTTCAGGGAAGGGGAATAGAGGAGCCTGAATGAAAAGATTCGAGACCCGGGAATTTAAGCCGGCTGTAAACATCTGGGACTCATGTGCCCACCCCTTTCCCAAGACAAACGAATCAGATACTGTACAGATGTACAGAAACATCTTTTATTTGGGTACCATGTCCCCAAACAGGTCAGTTAGTAAAATAGATTCTAGAGAATATGGCCCTATGCACAGCCCTCCCTCCCCAAAAATAACCCCCGGGGGTGAGCCTTCCCCTTCCCCCTTGGGCTTCTCTGGTATAAAAAAGTTTTGGCAGCTCAGTGTTTATCATCTGGGCCTGGGGCACCATGCCCATGTTCAGTATTCCTAGGGTGTGGCAGTGGTAGGGAGCCGTAGCTCTGCCAACTCTTCCCCTACCCCAACCCAGCAAACGTTTCTGCCCCACCCCAGGATCTGGGACCAAAATAAAGAGCAAGCAGGCCCCCTCTACTGAGGTGTTGCGTAGGGCTCAGTGCCATCACTGTGCTTTGAGAAAGACGGAGGGGATTTATTTGGCACTTTAAAAACAGAGGAGTAAGCAGGACTGGAGAAGCCATAGAAGGTACCAAAACTGGCAGGAAGAAGCCATTTGGCACTAGTTCCCTGGGAGAAAGGAAGAGGGAGATAGACATGAGAGTAGGAGCTAAGAAAAGTAGGAGGGGTCCACTCCAAGTGACAGAGGGCTGAAATGGGCTAGAACCAAGAGGACTGCTGACTCTAGGCCTGTGCCCTTTCTATACCTCTGTCCCACAGTAGCCAGCTGCCCACCTCCAGCCTCCCCACTGTCAGTTTGTCTCTATGTGTAGTGTCTTCCTAATACTAACGTCCCTTGATCATGTCTCTAGTGACTTGACCATCCCTTGTCCCTTGGGCCTTGTCCCTTGGGCCCACTCCCCTCTCATTGGTCAGATAGTTCTAAGGCTCCATCCTTACCTCCCAGAGAACTCTGTGGGCCTCAATCCCCCCCTTCCCCACTCCTTCCTTTTGCCCACACACTGGGGGAGGGGAGGAAGGCCCAGGGCACCTGATACCCAACCTCCCCTGCCCCTCTTGGAGCCCCCTAGACTTGGATGAAGAGCAGGCCAGTGAGCAGGGCAAAGCCTGCTAGGAGCAGAATGACCTTGAGGATCCTCTGCTCAGAAGTGGCCAGTTCCTGGGGCAGGATTTCCAGGAAGGTTATATAGAGAAAGGTGCCAGCCGCCATGCCCTCCAGCACAGACTGAGCCAGCTGGTGCAGTGGCCCAGCTGACTCTGCCAGAGCTGCACCCAGCCCAATGCCCAGGGGAGTCATGCATGAGAATAGGATCCCACAGCCAGCCACCACCTGTGCTCGCAGGTGGCTCTGCAGCAGCCGCAAGGACAAGCTGACTGCCAGGATACCCTTGTGGAGCAGCAAAGCCAGGCACAGCTCCATGGCCCGAGCCCGGTCTCGTTGCAGCCCCACCGCCAGCCCCTCGAACACCGAGTGCAGGGCCAGGGAGAAGACCAGTACACAGGCACGCAGGGCTGAGGGGGCTGCGGGGGCTCCGCCTGTCTGTGGGACCCCTGATCCATCATGCCAGTGCTGCGGCCCACCATTCGCTGTTCCGAGCAGAGCCCTCGTCTCCTCTCGAGGTGGTGGCCCCGACTGCTCCTTGTAAGCCAGCGTGATCTGCTCCATCACCAGGACAAGGAAGAAGCCCATGGCCAGGATGAACTCTTGCAGGGGGAACTGGAGCTGTGGGCAGAGAGGGCAGCAAGGAGTTCAGGAGACAGGCCAAGAGTGGGGAGGAGGAGTCAGATGCAGAATCTAGTGGAGTCCCAGTTACACAGACTTGGGGTCCCACACAGACACAGGGCCACTCTTGGCCACACAGAGATAGAGTCACTTGGTGACAGAAACACAGAATAATACACAATCACACAGATTATGGTGTCACTCAGTGTTACTTATAGACCAAGGTTTCTCAGCTTTGGCACTATCAACATTTGAGGCTGGATAATTCTTTGTTGTAGAGGGCTGTCCTGTGCACTGTAAGATGTTTAGCAGCATCCCTAGCCTCTACCCATTAGCTGCCAGTAGCAAGCACAACATCCTCTCTCCCCAAGTTGTGACAACCAGAAATGTCTCCAGACATTACCAAATGTTTCCTGTGAAGGTGTGTGTATGTGTGGGGGTGCAAAACCACCCCCAGTTGAGAGTCACTGATGCAGATGTACACAAAGTGTCACATGTAGGCATACAAACAAAGGGTCACACATTGGCCCATCTTCCCAAATGCTCACACATAGAGCCACATACTGTCCCAGAGACATTCAGGCTTACACATGGTCACATGGAGACACAGGTCACTCAGTCACAGACACACAGAGTGTTACATCTAGTGTTACTTCCTCAGTCTTAGGGAAATAGAAGAAGAGCCCAGCACACCTACCTCACACCACCACCCAACTGTCTCAGTTTTTCCTATGAGATAGTCCTATGCCTTGGACTTGATCTTCCCCACATCCTACTTCCTTGGGCTATCATCTTTTTGGTCAGCAACACCAGGTCCCTAGGAATTGCCTACTACCCTTCCCAGGCCTCTAGGGACCTCTATCTCCAACCCTTTGGGGAAGTGGTGAGAGGGTGAAGATGATTCTTGGAGCGCTGTTAACTTCCTGGAAGCTCGAACTGAGAAACCCACAGAGTAGGTCACACACCTGGTAATAAGTTTCCTCATGCTGTCTCAAAAGGTACATCATAGGGGTCAAAAAGGGACTGGGGGGAACCCACAGAAAGAATTATGCCCTCTTAACTAAAAATCATGATTCATAGGATCACATGCCAAGAGCCTTCCACACAATCACGGAGTGACACAGGAACAGATGCATACAAACCACTTCCCTAGAGGTATGTGATTGAACATACCCACATACACAGGACACATGCAGCTGGCCAGTGCTCACCGTCACGTGCAGGGCCGCCAGGGCCTTATCTATGGCAGCCAGATAGTCAGGCAGCAGGTCCAGGAGACAGGTAGCCAGAAAGACACCGCCTGCGAAGCAGCTTACTAGGCTCAGGGCTTTTTGGCGGGAGGCTAGGCAGGAGTGGAGCACAGAGGGGAATGAGCAAATGAACCCCCTCCAGGACCCACCCAACCCAAGCAATGGTCACTCTTGCCTTCCCATCCTTAGGTTACCTTCCTAAGCCCCAGAGCCTTCCCGACCCCAAGCATCCATGGCAGCAGGGAAAAGGAGAGGCTCACCCGAGGCTTCAGTGTTAGCTCCCGGCCGGCGCAGCACACAGATGGGCACCAGACTGCAGACGAGAGTGAGCAGCAGCAGCAGCACCAAGGCCCCCAACTTCACCTCCAGTCCCATGGGCACTGGGGGCTCTGAGGCTACCGCCTCGGGGCGCCACACCAGGAGCTCTGGCTCTCCCCAGGGCCCCATGGTGGCTGTGGTAGCTCCAGTGACTCTCAGACCTAGGAAGACAGAGTGGGGGGTGGAGAATGGTCACTAAGGAAAGATGGGGCCAAGGAAAGGGGAAGGCTGGTCAGCAGAATGCAGCTCCCTCACCCCAGCCACTGTCTGAACTTCCCCAACCCAGTGTGACTCATCCACTCCTATACTGGAAACATTCCCTTTTTCCCTCAGACTTTACCCTTTCCAAGTGACTTATTCAGAGACCCAGCAAGGGGGAAACTGAAGCATGAGGACTGTGTGGCTATCTTATTACCCTTTCACCTGGAGCTCCCAGAGGACTGGAGAGCAGGGTTCCTCTAAGGAAAGCAAAGGCCAGGCCCCACTCCAGGAAGGAATGGATGAAGCGCAGGGACTTCGGGGCTGTGGAGGGATGTCACGGGTAGCTTCGTGGACCACCTGAACAGGGCGAGTTTGGGTGCAGGATCACTCTCCCGCTCCCGTTTCCCCAGCGCCATCCCCCTGAAAACAGAGAGCGACTGCTCAGGCCACAGGCTGGGACGTCGGAGCAGATGGCTAAAGAGGGGCCCTAGGGGTCTGGGGTCCCGGGACAGGGTGACACAACAACTGAGGGCGGTGTCTGGAAGTCCGGGCTCCGGGAGGCGGGTCCGAGGCCGCCAGCGTCCCGGGAGGCAGAAGAATGTGAGAGCCGGATCTCCGGCTCCGAGGCCCCGGGAAGGCGGGCGGCCGATCCGGATCCCGCTCCCGGGGAGCCCGCACTCACCTCCCGAGGGTCTCACTACAAGGCATCCGCTCGGTTCCGGCCGCGAGTCGGGAATTCCCGCCCCCTCCCCATCGCTCCCCCTCCCCCCGCGGCCGCCGCGTGCCCGCCTCCGCTGCCAATGACAGCGCCCGGCGGGCGGGCCCGGCTGGGAGTGACGGGAGCTAGGAGCAATCAGAGACGGGCAGCGGGAGACGGGCGGAGGCGGAGCCCGGGGTGAGTCGGAGAGGACAGAGGAAGGGGCGAGAGAGAGACGCTCGGGGCTGTGGGCCTGGGTGGCTGTCTGGAGGTCTGGTGGGCCGGAGGTGGCCGGTCGACAAAAGCCTTGATCGTTTGGAGGTTTTAAAAGAGGAAGCTGGAAACCCCGCGGGCAAGTCTGGTGCCCCATACCCACCCCCGCATTCCCAGGTCTTCCGTCTCCCACAGCTCTGACGATATCTTCCTGGTCTTGGGCCAAAGTCTTCTTACCTATCTCTTAGAAGACTCTAAGACCCCTTCTGTGCACCTAGGCGCCAGGGGGAAAGCATTGCCTTCTTAGGACTGACTTCCTTGCTTGACTTCCCTTGCCAGCACCCACAAGAAAGAAAAAAGACGAGGCAGAATTGCAAAAGGGAAATAGCAAAGAGAGGGCATTTCTGGAAAATCATCCCTTCCTAACTACCAATGGCCTGAGCGGACTTCTGTGCAGCCTTCTGCCTTCAAGTGGGTAGAGAAGTGGTGGGACCCATCTCAGGGATTGCTGAAACCCAACTTAGTGAAAAGCTTCTGGAAGTACACTCCAATTTACCATCTGTACCATGCCTCAGGCATCCGGCCAGGTTCTCTCAGAACACATCACACATCTCGAACTCTGCAACTCCTCTCCCTCCAGGCCTGCCGGCCCTTCTGTTTTCTGTTCCATGAATGCACCAAGGTGTTTTCAACTCAGGACCTTCACTGTTTGCTTAGCCTGGATCCCCTTGGCCCACATCCCTGTTCTATCAGATCTAGCCTCATGGGAGGGTAGGGTACAAAGGAAGAAAATAAAGAAGGGGGCTCAGCCTATTCTTTTTTGCAAAGGTGAAAAGGCCTCATTTCCTAAAGAAGGGACAGGGTGATGCCTCTGATAAGGTTCTGGAAATGGAGGCCAGCAACTTCCTTAAGAAAAGGGGGAGGGCTGGCCCCGTGGCTTAGCTGTTAAGTGCGCGCTCTGCTACCGGTGGCCTGGGTTCCGATCCCGGGCGCGCACCCCGCACCGCTTCTCCAGCCATGCTGAGGCAGCATCCCACATACAGCAACTAGAAGGATGTGCAACTATGACATACAACTATCTACTGGGGCTTTGGGGGAAAAAAAGGAGGAGGATTGGCAGTAGATGTTAGCTCAGAGCCGGTCTTCCTCAGCAAAAAAAGGAGGATTAGCATGGATCTTCCTCACAAAAAACAAAAAGAGAGAAAAGGGCGAATGTAGGACTTCTTGAGGGAGGGGGTCTGGGAGAAAAAAAATCATATAGGACTCTAAGAACAGGATATAAGTGAAATGTGTATTGGTGTCCCATCATTTAATAATAATTATCATTGCTGCTCGAAGCTCTTAATTAAAAGATAAAAATTACCATTAGAGGCAATTCCAGATTATTCAATCTGGATTGAATATTATGCATGCTATGGTTTGCCTGAATTATGTTTTCAAGATTATTGATAATTAGTAACATTAAACAAGGAATCATGACCTGGGAGTCAGGACACCTGGGTACTAGTCCTAGCTCTACCTGCGATCTTAGGTAAGTCATTTTCCCTCTCAGGACCTTGATAAATCATGTGGAAGAGGGAAGTTAGACTAGCAGATGATGCCAGAGGTGCCTTCCAGTTCTAACATTAATGGAAGCTGACTGTATTTTCCACCTAATCATCCCTGCACATGTTGCCTGCAGGAAGCCCTTTGAAACCTTTCTTGATCTAGGAAAGATCTAAGCAAGCACAGCTCTGCTTTCCTTAGAGGTCTGTGTCACTCTAGGAAGCTTGGTTTGTCTCTTTACTACTTGAGCAAGATACAGGGAGATAAGCAGGAAAGACAAGAGTTGGGAAATTTGAGAAAGCCCCAGCAAGGTAGCTTAGCGTAGTGCGAAGAATATGGACTCAGGCATTCAAATCTTGGTTCAGCCACTTACAGAGGAATTTTGAGAAAGGTACTTACCTCTCTCTGCCTGCTATGAGTTGCTATGAGAATTATGAGTAACATGAAAATGTCTGACCTTGGGGCCGCCCCGTGTCTTAGCGGTTAAGTGCCCGCGGTCCGCTACTGGCGGCCCGGGTTCGGATCCCAGGCGCACAACGACGCACCGCTTGTCCGGCCATGCTGAGGCCGCGTCCCACAGACAGCGACTGGAAGGATGTGCAACTATGACATACAACTATCTACTGGGGCTTTGGGGAAAAAAAAGGAGGAGGATTGGCAGTAGATGTTAGCTCAGAGCTGGTCTTCCTCAGCAAAAAGAGGAGGATTAGCATGGATGTTAGCCCAGGGCTGATCTTCCCCAAAAAAAAAAAAAAAAGAAAAAAAAAATGTCTGACCATATAATAGTTACTCCATAAATATTAGATCCTGTTCCTTTCTTTACCCTCAGCTTGTTCAAATTTTCACAAGGAGAATACCAGTTTGAATTCTAGATCCGTATCCTGACTTTCCTGCTTTATTCACCCAGCTACGAAAATCATACCTGTATTAGTATATTTCCATTATTTTATTTAAAGTGAATTCCTGGGTCATCAATCACTAGACCAAGGCAAAAATCCTGAGTTTTGGTATTCTACATTCTAGTCATGGATCTCTATCTCCTCATTGGTAAAATTAGTAAAATATTACCTGCTTTGTCTGCCTCAGGGTTGTGGATTAAATGAGAGAAGAATGTTTATAAAAACATTTTATAAACTATACAAATGCAGGACACTTACTGTTGTTGGTAATTATACACAAACAATAAGACAAATTCCCACATCAAACCCAAATGAGTTTTTGACCTCTTGCAGTTTTCCAGACCCTCCTCCCTCCCGTTAGTTAAGAGAGAGTCTTGTGAGTGTGTATGTATAACTGCTGTTCTTTATCAGTAGCATGAGGCACGGATTCCGGATTTGGACAACCCGCCATTGTGCGACTTGCCCCCGGCTGAGTCAACGCTCTGTCACTTAACTTGGGTCAACAGGTTATTTACTCCCCGCCTAGGTAATAACCTGGGATTTGGAATCACGTGGCAAGCGAAACCAAACCATGCCGCTCCTACCCGTATTCTCGGAACTTTTCCCTAACTTCCCTACAATTTGTCTTCTGGCTCTTACTCTCCCTTTGGTGCCTCAGAACCCATTCCCCGAGAGACAAATAAGTCCTCCGGCCCCACCGGCCTCACTGCCTCTCGACAGCCCATTCTGACCGGATACGGTGGAGCCTGCCTCCAGAGGGTGATTGATTTGCTCAATGCCCTGCCCCTCAACCCCTCCGTCTTTAGCTTCCAATCAGACTCAACTGTGGGACAAGCGCCAGGGGGTGGGGGAGGGGATGCCGCCGTATGTCTTGGGCAATCCAGTTGATTCTTTCCTCCTTTGTTTTCAACCCTGCCGTGATCTCCCTCTTATAAAATTGATGGCCGAAGAACAGCACGTCCTGTGCTCCAGTCATAGCCATCTCTAGCCTTCCCTGAGGAGCCACCAAAACCCTCAGGAAGATTTGCAATCGCTAGGAGAAACTGAGGCTGAAAGGGCGAGGCTGCCTATGTTTTCCTTAAGTCTGGTTTGTGGACGCTTAGCCTCTTAACCCCCTGCTCCCAGATACAGTGCCCCTACCGTGGCTCCTGGCTAGGTGCAACCCACTTTCCTGGTGTAAGGCTGGGGGCGGGGTTTGGCTGGGCAGGTCCAGGATGCGAGATCCTGGAGGAAAGAAAAGGTGTAGTGTTTGGGGCAGTCAGCAGGCTAGGCTGGCTTGGCAAGGCTGGGCTCTTCCGAACAAGTAATACCCAGGTGGCTCTTTTGTCTGAACCAGAGAGATAAGGCGGGAGGCAAGATCTCCAGGTGACAGGTGAGGGGGCTGTGCAGGTGAGGGGTGAGAGGGATCCAGAAACTGGGGGGGGGAGGAGACAATCATCCTCTTTCTGCAACTCCCCCCCCACCCCCACCCCCACCCCGCGCCCTGCCATGCTGCCCTGCAGAAGGATGGATTTCAGAACCCCTGAGCTGCTGGACATGTGGCTGGAGCCGCCAGAAGATGTCTTCTCAACAGGAGCCTTCCTGGAACTGGGATTCCACTGTCCACCTCCAGAGGTCCCCATGACTAGGCTGCAGGAACAGGGGAAGCAAGGCTGGGAGTCCAGTGGGAGCCTTGGCTGTGTGAGTGCGATGAATGGAAGTGGTGGTGGGTTGAGACACAACTCTGATAAGAAGCCCAAGAGGCTTCAGCCTCCACTTGGAGAGAGGTCTGAAGACAGAGCCCGTAAAATAGACATGAGCTATAACAATGCCCATGTCCAGGGACAGAAGGGACTGAAACTGAAGCATGAAGGATCTAGATTTGATATCAGGTAGGATTTCCAGAATACTTTACTGTATACATCTACACCCTCTTCTTCTGTAGGGCCTTCAAGAGAGTGAGCCTGAAGATTTCTTGAAGCTTTTCATTGATCCCAATGAAGTGTACTGCTCAGAAGCATCTCCTGGAAGTGACAGTGGAATCTCTGAGGACCCTGGCCATCCAGACAGTCCCCCTGCCTCCAAGGCACCCAGTTCCCCTGCCCTCTATGAGGTTGTCTATGAGGCAGGGGCTCTGGAGAGGATGCAGGGGGAAGTTGGGCCAGCTGTAGAGCTCATCTCTATCCAGCTAGGTCAGTGTTCTTTGTGGGAAGAGGACAATGGCCCTTCAGATCCCGCACTAGCCCTGGGGTTAAGCGGGTTTCCCCAACCTGTGCCACTACCCAGACCCTACTGCCATCAAGGTGTACCCTCCATCCCCTTGCTCCCAACCACCTGTGTCTCCCTCAGGTCAGCAGAGCCCACCACTTATGGTGCCTGATGCCTGCTTGGTCAGCGAACTGCCCCTTGATGCTCACGCCCACATCCTGC